TGTTCGCATAGAACGTTGTGAGGAGCTTTTATTCCAGAGAAGTGAAAAAAAAAATCACTCTAAGTAGGTATTAAATCTAGTTCTGTTGAATTCGGAAGCTCTATCACTGTGATAGAACACCAAGATTCTTTTCAGGAACAATAGTCTTTAATCGCCAAACCTAGCATCATTAGGTCCCTTTTATTTCAAGATGGGCCTAATGATGCTATTTGATAATGCTATTAACGATGCTATTAATGTTAGAAAGAAAAGTCTAGCTAGTTTTATTTTTAATACTTTGATACAGGCAAGTTAAATAACATTTTCAGGATATTATAGCACAATTTTATAAATTACTGTACTCCAGTACCTAAACGATTCTATTAAACTAGATTATTTTAAAGCTATATCTCTTTTTCATAAAATATAATTTGTCATTGACTCTTACATTTATCAAATATTTGAATGCCTAATAAATCCCAGATGCCAAGATGATTTTTAAATTATTTTTTGTTCATATTTTGACTTGGAATGAAAATGATAATTTGTAGATTAATATATGTGTGCATATGTGTGGGTATACACACATTAAATTAAATGAGAGTGTACAAGTGTTATCCCAAGGGCAAGTATCATGATAAATACAGACATAAACTTATTTGAAACCACATTTGTACCCAAATTTTATCCACAAGCTCATGTGGATAACATATATAATTTAATGTCCTATAAGAAAGTTGCTATGTGTTTAAAAAAATCAGTACCTTATACCTTGCCATATAACAGTGAATAACAAATTGTATGACATAAAATTTATTTTAAAGATTTTTTTTCAGGCCGGGCACAGTGGTTCATGCCTATAATCCCAGCACTTTGGGAGGCCAAGGCAGGCGGATCACCTGATGTCAGGAGTTCAACCCCGTCTGCACTAAAAATACAAAAAATCAGCTGGGCGTGGTGGCGGGTGCCTGTGATCCCAGCTACTCGGGAGGCTGAGGCAAGAGAATCACTTGAACTTGGGAGGTGGAGGTTGCAGTGAGCCAAGATCATGTCACTGCACTCCAGCCTGGGCAACAGAGTGAGACTCCATCTAAAAAAAAAAAAAAATGTTTCCGAATATATATGTATACACGTTTCTTTTTTTTTTTCTTTCTGGGACTACAGGTGTGTGTCACCATGCCTGGCTAATTTTGTAGTTTTAGTAGAGACAGGGTTTCACCATGTTGGCCAGGCTGGTCTTGAACTCCTGACCTCATGATCTGCCCGCTTTGGCCTCCCAAAGTGCTGAAATTACAGAAGTGAGCCACTGCTCCTGGCAATATTTTTCATTAATACTTTTATACATTAAATATTTCCATACCAGTGTGACACATGAATAATATATGTATATACATTATATACATATACTAAGTATATATATGTTTAATATACAATAATAAAACTGATAAATATATGTATATTTACATACATTTTTATACATGTCTATACATTTGTATACCTAAATTGAATATACATATGTCATATATATATCCATGTTTAATATGTACTAATAAAAATGATGAATTTACCTTGTTTTAGGAGAATTTTTTAAAACTCCATTTGGGCTTTTGTTTTTTGAAATATTTTTATTGAAGTGTTCTTTGACTTGGGTTGTGCAGAAGTTGGCATCATACATAGTAACAACTTCATAGAGTAACACTGAAGTTAATCTGCTTTGGGGGAGTGGTCAGAATTTTATACTTATTGTAAACTGGTTGTCTGTGCAATTTTGATAATAAGGTTGGTCATTCAAAGTTTTTCTTAAAAGGAATATTATATAGCCACATTTCAGATTAGCAGAGACTGGAAGCTATTGCTTCCATACAAGTCTTTAACTTCTCTGTAGGAAGACGCCACTGCATGTTTGGTGCCCTTAATGGCCTTTCATTTGCCCCCAGAATTAACTGTCTGAATTTGTGTGTCTGACATTGGATAAAATGTTTATGTTTCTTACCTGGGAGAAGCTCAGAAACCCAGCAATAGAAGTGAATTTCAAAGCCTTTGGAACCAAATCACAGTTGTCTATAGCTTTTATATTTCTTATGTTTTAAAAATACAAACCACCATTAATAGAAATTTCTATAACGTTTTAGATATAATAATTTACCGATGATAAATATCTTTATTGACCTTCACACAATTTCCTTTGCATTTTCAACCTTTGTTTTCAAGATCTTCTCAAAAAGGCAACCACTAAGAGAGCTGTTTTAACTTACTGTAGCTGAGAGGGACTCATCCCTATCAGGCCTCAAATACACTTCATACAGCAAACATTTGAAACTGTCCCTTTGCTAATTTGGTGTGAAATTTATAGACACTATCACCTGCTTATAGTCATAATTTTTTAAACTGTAATGTAATACCTTATTATAATATAAAGAAAATACTGTAGGAGATGCTTCCAAATTTAAAATATATGTATTTCAGCTGTGACTTCTCAAGCATATGCATTACAACAAGACACAATGATGCTGTATGTTTCCATCTTAGGTTGAATCATTATGAATCCAACAGTTACAAATGCAGACTGATGTAGGTGTGTTGCATTGGGTATTCAGGCATTAATGAGGGAACCATCAAAGATGTGATTTTCTTGAAACAATTCTTGGTAATGGTCAAGTAAAACAAAAAATAATCTTTCTTTGGTTTACATGGTAGTTGCATTTTTATAAGAACTAGTATATAGAATATACATTAGTGTATGTATATATGTGTGTGCGTGCGCGTATATATATGTATTTTGTATGTATAAAACACAGTTACCGGGAGGCCGAGACAGGCGGATCACAAGGTCAGGAGATCAAGACCATCCTGGCTAACACGGTTAAAACCCTGTCTCTACTAAATATACAAAAACTTAGCCGGCCTGGTGACGGGCGCCTGTAGTCCCAGCTACTGGGAAGGCTGAGGCAGAAGAATGGCGTGAACCCGGGAGGCGGAGCTTGTAGTGAGCCGAGATCCCGCCACTGCACTCCAGCCTGGGAGACAGCGAGACTCCATCTCAAAAAAAAAATATATATATATACACACACACACACACACACACACACACACATACTATATATATACACTATATATACTTATATATACTATATATACTGTATATACATATACACACAGTTACAATTTAAGTCTAGATAATTTAAATGTGTGTATGTGTGCTTGTGTATGTCTAATGGAGTTGTGATTTAAGTGCAGATGCTAATAAGTAGGTTTTTTATCTACCTGAATGTCCCATAAGGCATGGAAAATCTGTGCAGCATGCAGGATAGCTCCCTTCTTGTGTGTGGGACTATCTTCTTGTGTGTAGTAGTGTCTGTGACTTTTGTATGCTAAATACCAGCAGTACTTACCTTTACATACCAACAAATTTAAAAAATTCCTTTAGGATGCATTGTGATTCCTCTTCATTACCATTGCTGTAGTTTTTTTCTTACTCCATTTCATTGCATCACTTTCTATCTACTCTGGAACCCACTTTAATGTGGTGTCCACTCTCCTTACACATCCAGCCCAAACTCAAAGAACTGTATTGAAACCACTCTCACTAAGGTCCCTAAGTACTGCAAGTTGTTAAATGCTCATAGCATCTAACTCTGAAGTAACTGTAGACACAGATTCCCCATCTGGACCACCTCAGTGATCTCCATGGTAACACATCCTTTCCATGCTCCTTGTTATTCTCTGGCTTTTTTTTTTTTTTTCTAAATAATCTTTAAATATTGTGGTTCCTTCGAACTTGATCCTATGCCCTTTCCAGCCTCACACACCTATTCCTATGCCTAAAATTTTCAACTAAATGCAAATAGCTTCTATATATTTCCAGCTTAAATTCCTCTTCTGAGCTCCAAACTTGTATATTAATTCAACAGCCTACTCAAAAGTTCCATATCGATGTCTCACATGCATCTGAAATGCAATATGTCTGAGATTGAATTCGTGTCCTTCCGCCCAAAACCTGGCTTCCTCCCGTGTTTGCTGGCTCAATAAATGCAGCAACATCTGCCCAATTCCTCATGCCAGAAGCCTAGGTGCCATCCAGTACACATCTACAGGATCATATAGTCAATCTGTTACTAAGTTCTATATAGTCTACCACTTATTTTTTAAAATGCATTACTGTTTATTTAACTTTACTGTTTATTAACTTCAGCATTCTAAACATACAAAAAACAACATTGCGAATTATGTTTAAGCACAGAGGTTCTTGAACTTTGATTGATACTGTGGCTCTTCCCTTTGCTGACAATGAACAGTTCTGCAGTTTGTTTAAGAACAAAGTTTCAGCTGGGTATGATGGCTTATGCCTGTAATCCCAGCACTTTGGGAGGCTAAGGCGTGAGGATCACTTGAACCTGGGAGTTCAAGACAAGCCTGGGCAACATAGTGAGACCCCCATTTCCATAATAATTTGTTTTTAATTAGCTGAGTGTAGTGATGCACACTTGTGGCCCCAGCTGCTTGGGAGGCTGAGGTGGAGTGATCCCTTGAGCCTGGGAGGTTGAGGCTGCAAATGTGCTGTGATCATGCTCCTGCAACAGAGGAGGACCTTGTCTCAAAAAAAAAAAAAAGTTTCAAAATGACTGCACTTAACTAAAAAAACTTCCAAACAATTTTCATGCCAGCTGACCCCCTTTGTCCAGAGCAAAGAATGGCAGCAGAATGCTATGTTACTATACACAGAAACAAGACAATCAAAGCTAAATGGAGGCCCATTGCAGTGGCAGCCAGTCCAGCCTCACAGTGCATACACTGAGCTCCAGTTTCTCCAAAAGCTCTTCCCCCACAGCCTCAACACAAAGCCAGGGGCCTCAAGAGTTTGTCTTTATTGTGTTCTTTTTACAAACGATATATATGTACAGTTGGCACCTCAGGATTTCTAGCCTGTAGCCAAATAGTAAACATCACCTTACCCATGTTTTTAAATGTCAGAAACATCTTTAAATGCCGTATCACACGAACAGCAAAGTGCACAGTGTGAAGAAAACACAAGATTGCCTTTTTATTTTTAAAAATGTTTGGAAATACATATAATTTTGATACAGTTTCAGGATGCTCCAGACACCCACGGCCACTTGACATAAACCACTGACAATTTCTAGACCACTTTGAAAACTACAATATGATTCTGATCAGATTTTGTCATTAAGCCTTGTGAGGGCAATAGACACTTCTCAAATAGATATGTCAGTTACAGCACTCCCCTCCTCTAAGGTATTCACAAAGAGACAGCTAAAACTGTTGTTGTTTTTTTTTTAATCCTCCTCCTCCACTTCCTCTTTGTCCTCTGCATCTTCTTCATCTTCCTCTTCCACCTTTTTCCAGGCAACTTTAGCGGGGTGTTTTGAGCCATCAAACTCTCCTTTACACTTACTATCAGCAACATTCTTCTCATCCTTCTCTTTCAGCTTCTCCACCTTAGTGATGTCAGGCTGCTTTTTTCTGTCACTTAAGTTATTCCACATCTCACCTAGCTTTTTGCCATGGATGCCAGGATTTGCAGATTTGACCTTGAAGTGGACTTCTGAACGGAACGGAAACAATTCAGATGGCGACCTTTTTGGGCCATTAGGGGCCTTCTTGCCTTCCTGAGCTAGTCATGGTCGTTCATTTCACCATCAGAACCTACGTTTTCTGCCTTTGCCTTTTATCAGATTTATACTTATCTTTCCCAGACACTGTCTTTCACCTCTCAGAGCACTTCTTGAAAAATTCTGCTAAAGCGACAGGGACCTCTGGGTTTTTCTTTTTGTGTTCTTCTCTGCACATCTGCACAAAGAAAGCATAAGCAGACATCTTACCCTTTGGTTTCTTGGGGTCACCTTTAGCCATCCTGACTATACTGTTTGCTAATGTGGGCAGTGTAGGGCATGATGCCTTGGCTTAGTGCTTTCCAGCATTGAGCTAGCTGCCTCCATGAGAGGTCCCTCTCTACCACTTAAATAGCTCTTACGTCCATCAGATATTCTCCATTTCCATTTCACCATCAATACTGAAGTCTGCCAAAGTCATCGGTTCTTGCTGGGGCCTGTGTTTCAAACTAGTTCTTAACCAACCTGTTTTCTCAGATGCTTTTACTTCTTCCAGTTACCCCCCTCTAAATAGATCAGTCAGAACTAGCTTCTAAAAACCCCCAAATCTCAGCACATGGGTCTGCAAGAAATATCCCCTGGGCCAAATCTGGACAATCACCGATTTCTGTAAATCTCTATTAGAGCACAGCTGCACACTTTCTAAAGTAATATTTTCTATGGCTGCTTACACATTACAGCAGTGGAGTGAGGAGTTACAAGGCAGCAGAGTGAGGAGTTGCAAGAGACTTGATACTCCCCAAAGCCCAAAATCTGTACGGTCTCTTTACAAAAAAAAAAAAAATTTGTCAACATCTGCATTGAGCATATACTGAATACACAGTAAATATTTAATTAATTGTTTTATATCATATTTTCCAAATGCAGCATAGCTCTCCTTATAGTCCCTAAGCCTCTATATGGTTCCTCATAGCTTTCCTTATAGACAAAGATCTTGTGTTTTCAGAACCTGTGTTCTGTTCAGATTTCAATCATGTGAAGAAAAGAATTATTCATTTAGCATCAATAACAGCAGATGCCAAAATAGTGATTTGAGATAGCTTTCAAGTTTGTGCTCTTTGAGAGTCAACTTCTAGGTAGCTGTCCCTCCCTCAGACACCTGCTTGCTGGCACCCAGTTTTAATATTTCTTTTAAAGAGAATGTCTGAGGATTATGTCACGTGTTCTGAAACAGTTTAACAGTCCTTCCTCCAGGCAGATTCATTATTAATTCATTATTAATACATAATGATAATAATGATATGAAGGTTCAGGATGGCCTGTCTTTTGGTTATGGTTGTGAAAGTTTTCCTACTAAGGTATGAACTCTATATCCAAAACTCCCTAGAACAAGGTGAAAATGTTCTCCGTAAAGCTGAGCTATACTTCCTCGGATTGTCCTGCCATCTGTCTCCTTCAACAAAATATGCCAATCAAAAGTGTCTGGACACACAGAAAATAGGAATTGTTGATACATTTTATTTCAATTTTTGAAGTAGATACCTATTTTGTAGATGGAAACTTTTATTGCATTATAATTAGAAGAAGCATTATGATCGGTTGCTTTTTTGCATAATCGAGGACCAGAGTTTTAGATTCGTGCAAACGGCAAATGGATAAGTCCCTTTTGGTTTGACACACTTCATGTTTTTTTATTATATCCACTGTTATTACTATTATTTTATATGGATATTATTACATATGTAACTTACGATTATCATATTTAGCAGTTAACTTTGAAGAATAGATGTCAATTCTCATTAGTTTTTATATTTTATATTTCCATATCATTTGTAAGGACATGAAATAGTCTTTGAAATATAAATTACTTCAATTACTTTAGGTAACTTGAGGTTACCCTCTTCTAAAATCATTTAAGTGACAAAGCAGAGAGCAGTCCCACAGGAAAGTAAAATACATTTTCAGCTGACACACAACCCATAATGATTTTCAGATACTCAATTTTTATTCGAGAACTTCCTGTCTGCATATTCTAAAATGCTAACTCATTAAAATAAAAGGCCATTTTTTTATGTCTCTATGGAGACATGTGTCTAGAGAAGTAGGTAGAGAACATTCTTTAAAAATTGACATTCCTTCTATGTAAAGTTTACCTAAAAGGCAATTTATTTGTCTGCACTAAGTCTGATAAAATCCATATACAATAGTCTGTATATGTTATCATATAACCCTTCTTGTAATTTCCATGAAATCATTACTGTGGATAATTCCGAAGACTATTTTTAGGTATCCTTTTCCCCTTGAGTTATTCGTTTTGAGCATTTTTATAAAGTCCTTAGTTCCTAATGTCCATTTGTATCACTGTCCTTCCATTGATCTTTTTGCTTTGGGTAGTCTTCCAATTATCCTAAGAACAGTACACTTTGGGAGGGAGTGGGAAGGGTCTGCCGGGTAGAGCAGAATCAATGATCTTCAATCCAGACAGTGAGAAAAAGTAATGACTATTGCAGACTAATACATGCATACTATATATTTATCAGTTTCCCCCAAATGCTCCAGCTGCTCACTGTTTCTGTCATTGCCACGCATTATTTAAATTGACCTAAAGCCATGTTTTGCTGCCTTAAATCCTTTATTTCCAGCACTAAACTATGCAAAGAGATCTTCTGCTGTGGCAAATCAACTCAGCAGGGCATTTGCCTACACTGCTTGCAGGCTCCCCTCTGCTCACCAAGAGAACAGCAGCTGAGTCTGGAAAAGGGAGAAGACAGGCTTCCGAGATATCACATCAATGTCACACGAAGGCACTGATGTGACTTCTCTATCCTTTGGGCTCATATATCCTATGAAACTTCAGGTTTGAAAGACAAAATGAGTATCAGAGAGAACAGCATGAATTTGAAATAAGAAAGATCAGACAGGGAGAAAAAAAGTCTCCAACTTCCCTTTCCCAAATGGACTTCAGGTAAAGAAAAAGCCAAATTATACTGAGACTTGAGAAGAAGTAGAACAATTTTGTACATTCATATTGCATAAAACATTCACTGGAAGTCATCCATATGCAGCAAATAGTTATTTTGTGTTTACCATAGATGTATGAGGCAATCTTTACCTTAGATTAACTCATTGCAAAATGATTAATGCTCTAATTATTTATTATTTATACATCTGCCGAGTAGCAGAAAACTGTATAGTTTTAGGAAACAACACTTCAAAATTGCAGTTAGCTCAGAATTTTGCAAATGTCATGCCAAGGTCATTGATGAAGCTGACTTTCTCACTGCTTATGCAAGGCTGCACAGTCATAAGTTTAGTGTACACACACACACACTCACAAATACACATCTCACTTTCTTAATCCTGCATTTCAGTGACTTAAATAAGCACATATCTAAACAGCCTTCCCTTAGACACAGGCAAATGCAACCCGTGATTTCACACAGCAAAAGTGGCAACTTGCAAGATGTACACAATTTTTAAATTGTATTAGCCTAATCATAGCAAGATTGTTCATTGGTCTATGTGCATATTCAATGTCGACCACATGCTCCCCAACCCCAGCCACCAAAAGACCAGTTAGAGATCTCAGATGTGGAAGAGTGCTATTCAGTTTAGATATTTTTTCTCATCTATTACTTCTAGATGAACTATCATGAGTTAAAATGTCAGTAAGGCCACCTGTTTATCATCAATATAATTGAGCTATTTTAATCTCAAACTATTTCATCAAGATAGTTTTCAGTTCAGAGGCTGAGATAAAGTCCCAGCAAGTTTTCCAGGACACACATCATTAATTAGAAAACAAATTCTTACCTCCTTGTTCGTTGGTTTTACTTACATGACAGGAAACATCTCTGTGGAATTAAATTGCCCACTACATGCTCTTAATCTGTTTTGTTTTTATGCTTACTCCAGGGAAAACTGTGAAAGACAAGTTGAGATCAGGATTTGTTGTTTTCTTTTGATACAAAAACATAGCAATTCAAGTCAGCTTTTTTCTTGTATGAGAATGCAAAGTTCCTTAAGATCTAATATAAAGAAAATAGAGTTATTTAAAAGCACTGAAAGGATATAAAAGAGAAGACATTTTAGACTACAGCTTATCAAAGAACAGCGAGTAACGTTAGCACGTACTCTCTTAACTTTCCAATCTTACCATTTCCTGAGAAATATCATGAGTTTTCCTAATTCTTTCTTGCTGTCTTTATGTCTTTGAACAAAAGACTGCCTTTTGAAACAACCTCAAGACAATGATTATTGAACAAATGATTATTTGGTTTTTTGAAGGTTCCTAATTTCCAAGCTAACATTTTCTTATTGACTCTCACCATCTCTGTTTCTACTGAGGTTGAACACACACACACACACACACACACGCACAGACACACAATTCATGACATTTTCTTTAGCTAGTGCCCAACGTTGAAAATCTTCATTTTCTTTGGTCAGATAATACATGTTCATAATGAATAAATGGAGTGCACCTGTGAAAGCCAGTCCATAACACTGGAAAGCAAAGGCTGAAATCAAAGCTTGGTCAGCCTGCTTATATGATGCACTCTCTCTTGATGAATCACCTACCAATAAATATTTGTTCTGTTAACTTTTACTGTGGCTCCTCTCTCATGCCCAACCCCACCATTTATATTCTGTAGATATTTTATGAGAAAATTGACCCTTGCTTATGTGCGTCATTCTAGTCACCAACAAATGTTTTTATAAAGGAGGCACAATTACATGTGACAAATTAATTGGTCATTTCATTATTTCGTGTCCAGAAAGTACTCTTTGGGGAATCATAGGGCAAGAGCTGTCCTAGTCACCTTGTCTATAAAGATAAATAAACTTAACCTGTATACTCCAGGATCCTGCTACCTAGAAGGAAAAACCAGAAGTATAAACAATCAAAAGTGATGTAGCATAGAGTATGTTGTAATTCAAGAAGAATACATTCAGTAAGTTTACAAAGAATCAACAACTGTGTTTGCACACATACTGTCTCATATTGTAAGGTGGGTATTATAATTCTAATTTTAAAGATGAGAAAACGAAGACTTGAGAGACTATTTCCCAAGCTGATAGGCAGCAGAGTTTGGCGCTGGGTCTGGCTTTTATGATTCCAACACCAAGCCCTGCACCACAGAGAAGAGAGGATAGTTATCCCTGTGGAGGGCAGGATTTGGAAATACTTGACCAACGAGGCCTTGATTAATCTGGGCATAGAAAGTAGAGCAATAGCTTGAATGACCTTGCAGGAGGGGACAGCAATGAGGATATTTTTGTTTGCTAGGGTTGCTGTAATAATGTACTACCAACTGGGGGGCTTAAAGCATAGAAATGTATTTTTTTTCACAGTTTTGGAGGCTGGAATTCTGAAATCCAGGTGCCAGCAGGGTTGTTTCTTCTGAGGCCTCTCTCCTTGGCTCATGGGTGGCTGTCGTCTCCTGTGTCTTTTCATGGTCATTCCTCTCTGAGTGCTTATGTACAAATCTCCTCTTTTTATAAGGATACCTATACTATCGGATTAGGGCCTATCTTCATGATCGTTATTTGTCTTTAATTGCCCCTTTAAAGACCTGATCTCCAAATACAGTTGCACTCTGAAGTACTGGGAGTATGGACGTCAATATATGAATTTGGGGGGGAATACAATTTATCCCAAAACTGATGGTAAGAGGCCACAAAAACAAAATATGGGGGCATAAGGACCCCCAGTGCATACTCAGGCTCAACATTAGAGCAGAGTAGACATAGAACGGGATGGAAGGTGAGCCCCAAGATAAAAAGGGACAAGGGAGGCAAGATCAGAGTGGACAGGTCTGGAAGGCTACAGCAAGGTTTTTTATCTAAGGCATTATTGCAGGTTCTTGCTAGAGAGTGATAATTGAGAGTTTAAAGAAATGAATTTTGGCAATGGTTTTTTGCATAATCTGTTTTGTATATATTAAATGATGTTCACATAATTTAAAAATATTAATTTTAAGCTGTTTACTAAAGAAAAACATGACCACTCAGTGGAACTTTATATCTTGCCATTTCTAAAAATAGTATAGGTTATTTTTCTAGGAATTGGTATTAATTTGGGCCATTACTGCCATATACTTTGGACATATATATTTTTGTTAAGTGTCTGCGATTACATTCAGTATCTACATGTAACACACTTTACACAACCTAAATTATATCGTATGTGGCATTTTTCCCTCAATTCAGCTGTATTTTCAGAGAAAACACACAAGATTACAGAGCTATTTCTATGCTTAATAGAATACTGTCTAATGATTTCTGCATGTAGCAAAATCCAACTTTTATTGGCTACATGTTAATCACCCACTAAATATTTGCAACATGAATTTATCTGTGACTCACTTGATGTGCTGTGCTTGTGTCTGCATCCTAAGATGTGATTCATGTACTACGGTTGGTTGAGTAATTGTCATGGCAGGTTTGCCCCTCTAGTCTTGGCTTCTTGTTTTGCTTTGTGCTGCTTTTCTCTGCTATCTAGGCTGCCATTGCTATTTTTATTTTCTACTTCTGATGGTTCAGGAATATGAAGGCAAAATAAAAAGAAAGTGTGTGTTGCCTAACTGCCACTATTCTATGATATGAATCAGGGGTATGGAAAAGCTGAACTTTTAAGGAGGCAGCAAACCTCACCGATTCAGGAGATTTAATTTCCCCTCCTCATATCCCAGAAGGTCTAAGTTACTAGTTAACTTAAACAAAAGAAATAATTAAACAAGGGAGAAGACACTATAGAAAAGTTTTCCTTTTCTTTTCTTTTTAAATACACTTCTTGTATATAGTCCTAAAAGGACTTTCTCTCTTCTTATAGCTTAACAATGAAACAACAGCTTAGGGCAGCATTTGGCAAACTGTAACTGCTGGTTAAATCTGGCCTGTCCCCTATTTCTATAAATAAAGCTTTATTGGAATGCAGCCACACTCATTCATGTGAATGCATATTGTCTGTGACTGCTTTGGCAAAATAGTGGTGGAGTTGAGTAATTAATATAAGGGCTTTTCAGCCTTAGAGCCTAAATTACTTACTATCTGGCCAACTCACTTTTTGGTTTCAGGTAATGAAATTTTAATTGCACATAATAAAGTACATATTTTAATATGGGGCAATAAACGTTTTGCTGCATTTATGTAGCACATTTTTGAAATTGAAAATAAACTTGTAATAGGAATATAATACTAAAGAGTTTCACCAGCTTGTAGATTTTTCGATAACTTTTTCATATAAAGTCAATACATTTTTATAGAATAAAATATTTTAGAATCCATCTGGTTTATAGTAAATAGCATAAACATCTGTTTTGATAAACTTCCACTAATAAAGACATACCTTGAACACAAGCTATTGTTTTGCATTTGCCAACTTTTCCATATCATAACTGTATTAAATTATTAGAGATGGCTTTTTAATCAAAGACATTAGAATATTCAGTTGAATATAACATGGGCTTTGAGGCACATTTTTGTTGTTGTAGTGGTGGTGGTTTTGTTTTTAATTCTCTGCTGCCAGGTAGCACTAAATCCCCAAGGGACACAAAGATGGGAAACAGAAAAAAAAAATCTCAGGCTTTGAACTGCTGCTAAAACATAGAAGCCCTGTCCGTGATATTAGTTCATGTATGAAAATGCTTGCTATTTAGCCCTAGAAAAAGAGACCACTGGCAGTGTTGTATATAAGAGGTCCTGCTTGGTTTGCCCATGTAGTATTTATCTCAGTCCCTTCTGATCGGGGCCAGAAAGTCTACCCAACGAGAACATTCTATATTGAGTAGCACCTGACTACTGACCAAATTAGATGTTTTCCTTTGGTAGATTTAAGAACCATAGAGAAGGAGCCGACTGCAAAGTGCTAGGAATGACTAGAGACTTTGAGAGAGAGCACAGATGCTTACAGAGAGCCTCAGTAGTTATTGGCAGGAAAGAGAACCAGGGGGAGAGAGAATGAGCAAGAAAAGGAGAGAAAGATGGAGAGGAAATAAAATAAAAACAGATAAAGCAAAAAAAGAAATTGAGTCAGAAGAATGACAGAATGAATATGGTCAGAAGCCAACTGCACCCATTTATGAGGACATAACTGCTTGAATTGCTGCTGTGACACTGGAAGTTTGTGTGTGTGTGACGCAGTGGCATTCCAATTCTCCCTGAAGGTATTTACCTATCTCCCATATATTTCCGTGTATCTGCAAGAAGCCTTATCGCCTATGACACAGCTACAAACATCACAGTCTCACTAATATATATAGCTAATTGATAATTTTCAAAATAAAATGTGGAGGGAATGAATCACACAACAGCCCTATTTATAGTTTAGCAAATGATCTCAAACTCACATGTTTAGGACATCAGACGCGTCAATGAGTGAATCCGTTTGGGTGTAGGAAGTGATGGGTCATGTTGAGGGACAGAAGAGGCTGTGCACTGCTGATGGGACTGTGAATTAGTGCTGCCATTATGGAAAATTGTATGGAGGTTCCTCAAATAACTAAAAATAGAATTGCCATATGATCCAGCAATCTGTCTTCTGGGTATTTACCTAGAAGATTCTAAATCAGTATGTCTAAGAGATGTCTGCACTCCCATGTTGATTGTGGCACTGTTTGCAATAGCCAACTTATGGAATCAGTCAAAGTGTCCATCATCACAAAAATAGATAAAAACAATGTAGTACATACATATACACAATGAAATACTATTCCGCCTTACAAAGGGAAGAAATTCTGTCATTTGCAATAACGTGAATGGAATTCATTACGCTAACTGAACATTACGCTAACTGAAATAAGTCAAACACAGACAAATACCACACATTCTCATACAGAAAAGTTTTCCTTTTCTTATCACTTACATGTGGAATGTAAAACACTTTTATTCTCACTTATATGTGGAATGTAAAACAATTG